CGGGTACAGCTAGTAAATAAATAAAATATTTGTGCCAAATTTGGTCCATTGAATGAAAATATATCTTGCATATCAGATACTGACATCACGATTCGTAACAGTAACAAAGTGACAGTTGTGAAGTAGCAACGAAAATAATGTTATGGTTGGGGATCAACACAACATGAGGAACTGTATCAAGGGGTCATGGCATTAGAAAAGTTAAGAAACACTGTCCTAAGATCTTGCAACCTTACTTGGCCCTCACCCGACTAGGTATTTTTGGTCTCTTACACTGCATCTCTTATTTTCTTGGGTTGGTTGCCCCTGAATGCAATGTCATTTTGAGAGCGAGCCAAAGTGTTTTTGCACATTGCCAAAGCTTATTTCAGCATTGATTTTCGGGGTCAGTTTCTTGCCTCACCTGCTTTTTTATTTAACCACCACCATTGCTTGCCTCTGCGTTGTTCTTTTATTGGGATTCTATCTCTTCCCGCTTGACCTCTTATTCTTTTCCACAGTCTAAACGAAACCTCTTCGAAGGGTCTGAATTGCGGAGCTCTCCTGCTTTTAAGGACTTCATGGCATCTTCCCGATGCCGTTGCTAGGCGGGGTGGAGGGAAACGGACGAGGCCTTGTTACTCATTCAGTGGAGCGTCTGTATTTGGGTCGTTGTCAAAGTGACTGTGTGTACAGTGAAGTCATTGCTGGAGTTGTGGGTGATCTTGGTTGCCCGCTTGACTTGGAAAGTACGGAGGTTAATCACTTTATGCCGGAAGGCAGCCGGGGAGAGAAAGAAGGCTCACATGGATTGGGTTGCATCCTAGGAGAGTGTGCCGTCCACCCCGACGGTAGAAAAAGTAAAACTGCGACGTGCTTTTCTCTATGCCTGATTGAACTGCAGGTGTCTATATTGAGAAGCTTGAGATACTCAGCAACTAAGACTATTATTTATTATTATTATTATTATTATTATTATTATTATTATTATTATTTATTTGTCTTGTACTCCCAATTTGGCTCAGAGCAGTTTACAGCAGTAGATTAAAACAATACAATTTACTTTAAAATACAATAAAAACAAGGACAGACATAGTCCCGAGTTATTCACCCATCAAAAGCTTGTCGGAAGAGATTGAGTTATATAGTTATAGAGAGAATATAACTATATAGATGGCCATCCAGCCTCTGTTTAAAAGCTTCCAAAGAAGGAGCCTCCACCACACTTCGGGGCAGAGAGTACAACTGCTGAACGGCTCTCACAGTCAGGAAGTTCTTCCTCGTGTTCAGATGGAATCTCCTTTCTTTTAGTTTGAACCGAGAGAGAGAGAGAGACAGAGATGGAGATGCCCACCTTTCCTGAAGGTAGGCACAAAAACAAAGGAGGGAGCGGAGGTGGGAGATACCTCCAGCCGGAGGGGCTCTCTCTCTCTCTCTCTTGGTCCCAATGGCTGAAGAGAAAGTCAGAAGAAGAGGCGACTTTTGGTGCGCACACTGGGGTCTTCAGACACGCCTCCGGACCCGAAGCAGGCCAGGCATGGCGACTCCGCCCCTTGGCCCACCCACAGATTGGGGAGAGGAGAGGAGGCGGGTGGAGCGCCGGGGGATCGGGAAAGGGATCGAACGCGGAGAACAATTGAATGCCGGCTCTGCTCGTGCACCTGATGGCCAGGTGGAGCAGGAACGAGAGGGGCTAGGCGAGGCTCAAGGGCCCGGCCCCTTTGAGAAGAGGATTGCCCGGCATTGAGGCAAGAACGCCGAGGCTCCCCCCAGACTGCTAGGGCTGTTGTGAGCTGAGGTGGCGCTCCTCAAGTGGTGGTCGAGGGGCATTTACAGAGGTGTATCTGCGCCCCTGGCAAAGAAAAGTGTTCTGCGACCGCTTACTTCGCGTAATGAACGAGCCGCCCCTGATGGAAGGATGGGTGAGAAGCCTGAAAAGAGCCAAGGCTAGCATAGCAGGCAGTCCATTCCCTCTTTTGCAAGAGGAAAGGAGGCCTGTACTTTTTTCAAAGGGCACCGAATAAAACGATGCCCACCGGCCATGAAAAGAAGCAGTCACTTTCAGATAAATGAGGCCCCGTTCCTCCTGCAAAGGGGATTAAAAGGGGGGAGAGGGAAAAATTAGAAGAAATCACATTCCATATTAACGGTCCCTTTGGTACTTCCGTCAAATGAGTTTTTAGTGGCAGAGGGCTGCTAAAAATACCCACCAATTTCTTTCCTCATTTAAATGCACTGCTGAGTAGGAAAAAAAGAGCGACGAGAGCCGTGAACGGAGTAGGGAGATCGTGGCTCAACAGCTTGGATATCGTCACGGCATTCCATTTCTCGCACTGCCTTTTGCAGGAGCAAAGTGCGCATCGACCCTCTGTGGCAAGCGGGAGAGTGTGGCTCACAGCAAGATGATACACGATTCGGGAAATGCAGGATGTATTTTCATTCGCTGGACCAAATTTGACACAAATACCCTATATGCTCAAATTTCAATATTGGTGGATTGATTTTGTCATTTGGGAGTTGTAGTTGCTGGGATTTATAGTTCACTCACAACCAAAGAGCATTCTGAACTCCACCAACAATGGAATTGAACAAAACTTGGCATACGGAACTCCCATGAGCAACTGAAAATACTGGAAGGGTTTCGTGGGTATTGACCTAGAGTTTGGGAGTTGTAGTTCACCTACATCCAGGAGGCACTGTAGACTCAAACAATGATGTATCTGGACCTCACTTGGCACGGATACTCAATATACCCAAATGTGAAGAGTGGTGGAGTTTGGAGGAAATAGATCTTTATATTTGGGAGATGTAGTTGCTGGGATTTATAGTTCACCTACAACCAAAGAGCATTCTGAACTCCACCAACGATGGAATTGAACCAAACTTGGCATACAGAACTCCCATGAGCAACAGAAAATACTGGAAGGGTTTGGTGGGCATTGACCTTGAGTTTTGGAGTTGTAGTTCACCTACATCCAGAGAGAACTGTGGACTCAAACAATGATGGATCTGGACCAAACTTGGCACAAATACTCAATATGCCCAAATGTGAACACTGGTGGAGTTTGGGGAAAATAGACCTTGACATTTGGAAGTTTGTAGTTACAGGGATTTGTAGTTCATCTACAATCAAAGAGCATTCTGAACTCCACCAACGATGGAATTGAACCAAACGTGGCATACAGAACTCCCAAGAGCAACTGAAAATACTGGAAGGGTTTTGTGGGTATTGACCTTGAGTTTGGAAGTTGTAGTTCACCTACATCCAGAGGGCACTGTGGACTCAAATAATGATGGATCCGGACCATACTTGGTACGGATACTCAATATGCCCAAATGTGAACACTGATGGAGTTTGGGGAAAATAGATCTTTATATTTGGGAGTTGTAGTTGCTGGGATTTATAGTTCACCTATGTGCCGAATGCCTTTGCAAGGTCGATGAATGCCATGTACAGTGGTTGATTTTGTTCCCTGCATTTTGCCTTGAACCCACGGCTGGGGAAGGCAATGGTCCAGCAGAAACCCACCGGCGAGTGGAACGGCCCAGCCAAGGGGATTTCAAGTCATTTAATCTCAGCTCCTGAATTGGCTGCACACGCCGCGCCAAAGTGGTGTACTTTACTGCTGAAGGTAATACGAGATTAAACTACAGCTGTCTGAAATGATAAGAGTCAGATACACCAATTTAGTGAATTAGAGGGTGGTGGGGGCTATGCGTAGGGGGGG